AAAAAACAATAATCAAAGTACAAATAAAAGCACGTGCAAAGCTGTTTCGAATTGTGGTTTGACTGGTGACTTATGACTTGTATTTCGGTACCACAAATAAAGAAAAACGTCTGTATCAATTGATGACATGTAATAAACTTTGTTCGAATTCGAGTGTTCATACCATTATTGTAATTTAGCTTGTCAAACCTTATGTTGGATCCAAGTTTTCCGGTATCACTCTACAAAACTCTTGAATTGTCAAGAATTTTTTATGCAGTCTGGGTTTTCGCTTTTTTATTCAAATAAGTTTGCGGTGAAGTTGCTGTTTCGAAATGTAGAAAAAGAAACAAAGCAAACGATACGACAAAGGCTCTTGATCAAAAAGGTTAATGTCTTTTATGTTCTATTTGATCATTAGTTATTTCATTCTAAGTATTAGTATTGTTTATTTGATAAATATATTTTTTATTTGAGATTATTTCGTGATATTGCATTTTGTTTTAAATATTATTCTACTTTCACGCTATATTATTAGTATTTGTCAATTTATTCTCATATTTAGCATTTTCGTTTTCTTTATTATCTCATGAGTTTATTTACTGGATGAAGTTTCTTCCCCTCCTAAAGACATGCATCGAATCTTGCCTTTTTGTATCATAGATTAAAGAGGATGAATTCTTTTCCGCTGACCTTCCGCCTCATTTTTACTGTTATCTGCTTTCTATCGTGTGTGAACTTGTCAGGTATGTTGAAATTAGAAACAAAAGTAATTCATCATTAAACTAGCTCCCGATAGTCCTTTTGTTCTGGATTGCCTTAGTATAGACCACGCTTTGTTAGAAATTTAGAAACCAAATGGCATCTCATGCATTTTAATTATAACCTTCATTTATAAAAAAATCCAAACAGTTGCTTTATTCTTTTTAACTGGCTTGACATACTAGAATCGATGTAATCGAGTCTGTTAGAAGGCAATCTCTTACGAAGAGCAATTTTTTTCATGTCAAGATGCTTGCATCTTTGCAGGACGATACTTGATGATCTACGCCCAAAACAACTGTAATATTTCTGCATCGCTGCTCTTCTCGAATGGTCGTGTTCCTTAACTAATATAGCTGTTATAAATGCTTTTAAAAGACGTCACGCAAAAGCCACGCCACTGAAAAGAAGAGTGTTAAATCAGTTACTGATATTACGAACACATAAAATTAAAGAAAAATTATTATGTCTAAAGAGCTTTTATAACAACATAGTCAGCTATTCGAGACCTAGGCAAGTGATTATGTGAAGTTTTTTTGTTTTTTTTTTCTGAGTAGGCAATAACCCAATTGTTACCAGCTTATGCAACATTTGGATCTGATGTGACAGTTCGCTAAAAAGGCATGCAATTAAAATCATGCAAAATTATTGTTATTTATCTTTGAATATAGATATTGTGTCCAACAGATAGGTTCAAGTTAACGCTTTCTGTTTTAATATTCAGTCATCTAGAACGTACTTCATATTGATCTTTTTAACTTTTTTATAAACGAAAAAATAATGATTAAATATTAAACATTATGCACATTAGCAATAAATACTATCTTAATATCAATAAGATATGTCACACAAAGTTAATTCCATTATTTAATGTTTATTGTAAAATTCATTAATAATGCATGAGGTAATTACCCAGTGAAAGACCTGGATTCAGGTCACGTGGATGGTTTGTAATTCTCGATACAGGACGTGTGAAACTTAAAGCACGGGGAGGGTTGAATAGTCAGCAGGGAAAGGCTGGG